AGAAGAAGAAGAAGAAGAAGAAGAAGAAGAAGATAAAGGTTGGAATTTATGAGAAATTTTGACTTTTCAATTCTCATCTGACATAAATGTGGCATGGGACTCAAAGAAAATTATTCCGTACAAAATTTCGTCTATATTTAACAAAATTTTGTCCAATTTTGTCTTTGTTGTATCTCTAATTTTGTACATTTTGGAGAAATACAGAACCGTACTACATTCCTAATGTTGACTGTAATTTGGACAAGTAGGACCATTACTGTGCGCTAATCAATAGTGTAGTGGAATAGTAGTCTTGGTGGGGGGACCTTGTTTCTAGATTTTTTATATATTTTTATTTTTAGATTTTATTTCAATATTTCTAGATATTATTATTTTTTCTATTTTTTTATAATACTCTTCATTAACACAGTCTGAAGTACGACCTTGCTATAGTTATCCTCTTAACTGGACTGCTACATCTACTATAATGTTGACTGTAGATTGGACAAGTAGGACCATTACTCTTGCGCTGATCAATATTGTAGTGGAAAAGTACTCTTGTGGGGGGACCTTGTTTCTAGATTTTTTATATTTTTTTATTTTTAGATTTTATTTCTAGATTTTATATCAATATTTCGAGATATTATTATTTTTTGAATTTTTTTTATAATACCTTTATAATTGTTACAACTACCTCTATAATCCACTACGGTCCGAACTTAGTTGTTAACATAAACAGGTAAAGACTACCGCTAAAGTTGTCCTCTTAACTGGACTGCTACATCCACTATGGTCCGAACCTAGTTATTAACACCAACAGGGACGACCTTGCTACAGTTATCCTCTTAACTGGACTGCTACATCCACTACGGTCCGAACTTGGTTGTTAACACAAACAGGTACGAATTTAATACAGTTATCCTCTTAACTGGACTCCTACATCCACTACGGTCCGAACTTAGTTGTTAACACAAACAGGTAAAGACCTCTTAACTGGAATGTTACATCCACTACGGTCCGAAGTTAATTCTTAATACCAACATGTAAAGACTACCCCTACAGTTATTCTCTTAACTGGGCTCCTACAGTTATCCTCTTAACTGGACTGCTACATGCACTACGGTCCGAACTTAGTTGTTAACACAAACAGGTAAAGACTACCGCTGATGGTGTAAATTACTCGACCGGTCAAACTATGCTAGACCGGGTCTAGAATAGTTTGTTCGATTTGGCAAAGTAAGAAAGGTAAAAACACGCAGATTGACCGGTAGGACTTTAGGTGGAACACCTGTAGCCCGATTTATATTATAACGGAATATGCACGGGTGCTTTTACAAGGGAGTTTAGAGAGAATGAATTCGGATCCTTTTTCTGAGGTTTACAAGGGATATATATACTAAGCTAGGGGGGGACAGGTTCACGTGCGCCCACGTGGGGGCACGCTGTTGATGTGGTGCGAGATGACTGTCACTGATCCGTCTTGTCATCTTGCGAGGGGGATTACCCTCCTTGTCACGCTCTGGCTTGGAAATATTCCTCCAGCATCTCTGCAACGCCAACCACTACAGTCCAAGCCTCTTTTGGATTCTTCCTGCCGACGCTCTCCGATCTTTGGAAACTAGACCGGGTGATCCTCGAGGGTTGATTTGGCTAACTTCAGTGGACGAATGTGGGCGATGGCGTAGTTTGACCGGCATACTAACCCGAAGTGTACCGGTCATGTTTCTGGTCAACCAACCATCCCCTTGCAGACGATTCAGATCTCACTCCAAAGTTCGACCTTTCTGACCGGTCAACTATCTGGTCCTGGCCTTTGACCGGTCGTGGGCGAAATACACCCATCAATAAGCCCTCCACTTCTCGGTTATGCAATTTTGTCATAAGCGGGAAGTAAAAATCCAAAAGGTATATTCAAAATTCAAATTTCTGACTTCTCCCGCTCAAATATTTCAAAATTCAAAATTCGAACTGTCGATTTTGACACGTGCCTGGCGCTGGTCATGGCAGCAGTCGCGTCCCATCGCCTTCCCATGCGCCATCATTGCGCCGCCTGAC